CCCTATGGATGATCTTTTAAAATAGTTTACAATAGTCTGAAGATAACGTAAACAATTACACTAGCTATTGACATTCAACTTGTGTCTTAACCACTTATATGATTATTTTGATCGAAAGCGGTGACTTGTCGAGGTTAGACGCCTGAATGCAAATACCAAGTACCATAGATTCCGATTTGTGTTAAAATCTTATGGGGTAGCTGACTACGGTGATGAACCTGTTATGTTAGCAATTCTTCTGTATTTTGGTCCTGTAAATATTTTCTTTTGTGTTCTGTTTGTTCTTATCTCATCTAATGATGTGTTTTGTTTGAAACAAAATGATAAAAATATCTTTGCACAAAAATATAAAATCCTGGAACAAACGTAATAATGAAGAACCCTGAGGATCTTTCATAATAGTTTAATCGTTTCTCAATATAACGTAAACAATTACACTACCTATGGACATTCGACTTCTGTCTTAACCACTTATATGATTATTTTGATCGAAAGCGTGACTCTTCGAGGCTTGACGCCTGAATGCAAATAGTACCATAGATTCCGATTTGTGTTAAAATCTTATGGGTAGCTGACTACGGTGAATAACCTGTTATGTTAGCAATTCTTCTGTATTTGGGTACTGTAAATGTTTTCTTTTGTGTTCTGTTTGTTCTTATCTCATCTAGTGATGTGGTTTGTTTTGAAACAAAATGATAAAAATATGTTTGCACAAAAATATGAAATCCTGTGAGTAACAAACGTAATAATGATAAATACACAATAGAATAAAATGGGAATAAGTACGCCTCTAAAAATGCTCTCTTGATAGAACAAACACGACCAGATAAATACACGAGATATATAAGCAAAATGTAAGTGAATGGTTTGATTGTCAATCTTGAACAAAAGTTCCAGATCCTGGGAATATCTAAAAAATGTACACCAAATGTAATCTCCGACATTTTTGTGCCGTCGGTCTCATTCAAAGTGAAGACTATTTTTCGCAACGTCTCGGTTTTTTATGTTTTAATGAGGTGTTAACGATCTTCATAACGCAACTGTAGGATTCCCCTCTGTGAAACTC